TGAGTGTGCCTCAGGACACACCTGTACCCTAGGCTACGGTCCTTGCCCTCACCTTCCCTGCCCAAGCTGTTGTCCAATTCTGCCTCTCTGGACCCTCACAGCTCAACATGGCCAAGAACACCTGGCCCATCCTGAAGGGCTTCCAGGAGGGGCCCCTTAATTTTGCACCCACCTTCAAGTTTGACGTGGGTACTAACAAATATGACACCAGGTGAGTGCAGCACTGCCATGAGGTGGGGATGTAGGCTGGGGCCTTCTACATAAAGGAGTCAGGGAAGAGGGCCTGGAGGCGAGGCTGGGGACTGTGCCTTGACCCGCTGCCCCTGAAACTCGGGCTGTGCCTGCCCCACACAGTGCCAAGAAGCGGAAGCCGGCCTGGACAGACCGTATCCTGTGGAAAGTCAAGGCTCCGCGTGGAGGTCGCAGCCCCTCCGGACAGGAGAGCTACCGGCTGCAGGTGACCCAGCACAGCTACCGCAGCCACATGGAATACACAGTCAGTGACCACAAGCCTGTGGCTGCACAGTTTGTCCTGCACGTGAGTCCCAGCCTCACCCTCTTCTCGTGCCATCCCCAAGCCCAGCTCAGCGTTCTGCAGCCCACCCCTTTCGCCTGCTTTTAGCGGTACCCATCTGTTACAGCAGAGTGGGAGTGGGTTATGATCGCCACTTTCAGGTGAGGAAACTGAGGCTCAAAGACACAGCATCGCTTGCCCAGGGCCACACAGCTGGCAAAAGGAAAAGTTAGGGATTGAACCCAGGCTGATCTGATTCCAGATCTCATGCCTTTTCTACTTATCTCTAATCCCCTTCTTCCAAGAAAGGTTTAGGGCAACTTATGTTAAAAGTTGCATATATCATAAGACCAGAAAAAAAAGGTTTCCTTAAACCCCATGCAGCATTAATTCATATTCATTTATTATTTATTTACCATCTTACCCTATGCCAGTCACTAGAAGAACAAGGTAGTGATGGGAAGGAGTAGAGATACAAAAAATACAAAGCTAAACTCTAGTTACTTAGCATTGGCTTTAGGACTGAGGTCCCTGGTTGCCAACATAAAGAAAGGGAAACAAGAATGTCAGAACTGGACCTGAGAGAGTCCAATAGTCCAATTCTCTGTTTATTTGAGGCCCCTAGGGGGAAGGCAGGTGCCCCAAGCCCTACGCAGGCGCAATGGCAGAGCAGGGGAGATTCCGTCTCTCCAGCCTTGAAACCCAACGCTTGGCTCTCTGATTCCCTTGATCTGATAAGAGGGAGCACAGCAGGCCAGAGAAAGTTTTCCTTGGTAATGAACGTAGTCACGTGGGAAAGGAAATATGCCTATGTCTGGCCTCCGGTGACCTTTGGTAAAATGCTTGGGCGTGAGGTTTAACCCTCACCTTGAGAACCACTCCTTTTGGGTGCCCTTCCCTGACCCTCCCTCCTCATCCAGGACTCTGTCCCTTGTAAAATGTCACCGGTTGTGCACCTACTACATTCGAGGCCCTGTGTGGGGTGCTTTACATTATGTCGTCTGCTTGAATGCCTTAGTAGGCTGTGAGATGTCCAAATCCTCCTCCCAGGTGAGGAAAACTGAGGCTCAGAAAACTTAAGTCTCCTACTCAAAGCAACACGATCCTAATAGGGGTTAGTGGGAGTTTTGGAGGGCATTCCAAACTGCCCACCCTGGCTAGACCGGCTATTAGAAACCTAGAGGTGGTGAGAGGAAGTGCTATTTTTTTTTCTGTGGCAGTTTGGTTCAGAAGCTAAGGGAGGGAAACCTGACACCAGGTAAATAGGGAGCAGACAAAAGCCCCAGGCTGGCACCAGCTGAGTCCTCTGAGGGACAGAGGTGGAGCCAGTCCCCGAGCGAACTGCTCCCCAGCAACCGCACCCATGTGGGTGACCCTGGGAGGAGGGCACTCGTGGTTATAAATTGTCTTTATGGATTGATGACAAGATCATAGCTACCTCTTTATACACACGGGGAAGCTGAGTCTCGGGTTGGCTAAGGGCTTACCTGAGGTCACAGAGCAAGTTAGTAGCAGAGCCTAGAAATCAACTGAGGTCTCCAGGCTTTTACCCAGGGTTCTTCTTGCCCACTCAGGGGTATTCAGCTTGCCCCAGAATATTCAGTACATCATATCTCCCTTATTAGCATAAAGGCAAACCAGTAATTGCATACCTACTATGTACTGGGAAGTCTATGGGATGCTTTACAAACAGTATCTCACTGAATCTGCTGAATAGCCCAAAGAGTTAAATAAGATCAGCCCTGACTGGTGTGGCTCAGTGGATTGAGCAGTGGTCTGCAAACTGAAAGGTCACTGGTTTGATTCCCAGTCAGGGCACATGTCTTGGCTGCGGGCCTGATCCCCAGCAGAGGCAACCGATTGATGTATCTCTCACACATTGATGTTTCTCTCCCTCTCTTTTTCCTTCCCTTTCTCCCTCTCTAAAAATAAATAGATAAAATCTAAACAAAAAAAGTTAAGTAAGATCATCCAAGTTTACAGACAAAAGCTCTGGCAAAGAGGTTAAAAACTCACCAAGGGCCCTGGCTGGTGTGGCTCAGTGGATTGAATGCCAGCCTGAGAACCAAAGGGTTGCTGGTTTGACTCCCAGTCAGGGCACATGCCTGGGTTGTAGGCCAGGTCCCCAATAGCGGGTGCTCGAGAGGCAACAATACACTGAGTTTCTCTCCCTTTCTTTCTCCCTCCCTTCCCCTCTCTCTAAAAATAAATAAATAAAATCTTTAAAAAAAACCTCACCAAGGGTCACATGGCCTGTCAATGACAGAGCCAGAGCCAAACCCATGGTCTCCCAACTTCAAAGCTGTGTGCTCATTCAGTCCTGAAGGAGGCGATGAGCACAAAGAGCCCTAGGTTAGGAGGCAGGAAGCCTGACATTTACCCTAGACCTGTTCTGCCTCAGTTTCCCTGTCTCTACAGTACCTTCAAAGGCCCTTATCTCAGCCCCTTTACGCTGACTCAGGCCCAAGGGTACATGGGATACTGGAGGGTCTCCACTGACCGTTGCCTCCCGCCCCTGGGCAGTTTGCCTTCAGGGACGACATACCACTGGTGCGGCTGGAGGTGGCGGACGAGTGGGTGAGGCCAGAGCAGGCTGTGGTGAGGTACCGCATGGAAACTGTGTTCGCCCGTAGCTCCTGGGACTGGATCGGCTTGTACCGGGTGAGAAGGGTGGGGTGGTCAGTGACTTGGGGAAGGAAGGACCTGGAGGAGCAACTGGGTACCCAGGTGGGATCGTGGCTTCTCCAGAGTTTGATGCCCCACAGGGAGGCTGGTGGGGTCAGGCCAGAGGGCTGAGAGCCGTGATTCCTCTCACCCCAGGTGGGTTTCCGCCACTGCAAGGACTACGTGGCTTATGTCTGGGCCAAACACGAGGATGTGGACAGGAACATCTACCAGGTACTCCAGGGAAGGGGGAAGGGGAGGAAGTCCCCACTACCTCTGGGGGGCTTCTGTGGCTGTCCCTGACCCCAGCCTGGGCTTATACCCTGGGCCCACCAGGTGACATTCAGTGAGGAGTCGTTGCCCAAGGGCCACGGAGACTTCATCCTGGGCTATTACAGCCACACCCACAGCATCCTCATTGGAGTCACAGAGCCCTTCCAGGTGAGTAGACCAGATGCAGGGTCAGGGGTACCAAAGATCCTGTTCAAATGCCGCAGCCTCTACATTCTGCTCCGTGGCCTCCTACAAGTAGCCTGACCTCCCTGGGTCGGTCAAGGAGGAGTTTTGGAGTGGTTCCAAGAGGCCTCAGGGGCCTGTTGGGGGTCGGAGCACCCCTGTGACCAACCTTCCTGCCCAGATCTCGCTGCCTACCTCGGAGTTGGCCAGCAGCACAGACAGCTCAGGTACCAGCTCGGAGGATGAGGATGACAGCACCCTGGAGCTGCTCGCACCCAAGTCCCGAAGCCCCAGCCCTGGCAAGTCCAAGCGGCACCGCAGTCGTAGCCCGGGCTTGGCCCGCTTCCCTGGCCTGGCCTTGAGACCCTCCTCCCGCGAACGCCGAGGCACCAGCCGGAGCCCCTCACCCCAGAGCCGTCACCTGCCCTGTGTGGCCCCCAACAGGGGCAATGATGGAGGCAGCCAGGGCAGTAGTGAAGAGGGGCCCTCTGGGCTGCCTGACCCCTGGGCCTTCCCACCATCTGTGCCTCAAAGCCTAGGCTTGCTGCCTGCCTTGCGCCTGGAGACTGTAGACCCTGGAGGTGGTGGCTCCTGGGGACCTGATCAGGAGACCCCGACCCCAGACAGCCTGACTCCCAGCCCCCAGGGCCGGCAGAAGTTGGAGGAAGGGGGCCTGGGTCCCTGAAGGCAGGGTGGGCTGTGGGGTACAGGTGGCTCCCACTCTGCCCCAACCTTCTGCAAAACCATCTGCCTCCCTCCTGCTGCTGCTCCAGCTTTATCCACACCTGTCACCCTGTCCTGGCCAGCAGTGGCCAACTGGGGTTCCCTCAGATCAATCCTGGCACCTCAACTGTGACAATCAGCAAAGCCCTATCTAGACCCCCATCTGGGATGGAGGGGTGGGGCAATTCTAGAGGTCACTGATTAGGAATTAAATTCTCCAGCCTCATTCCCGACTCCTTCTTAACTTGTTAGCGCTCTGGAGGTGGGGGTCATCAGAGAAAGGGACAAAAGTGCAGGACGACAGATCTGACAATTACCAGGCACCAGCTGTATACATTACACATGCCATCTCCTTTAATCTGCACCACGACCCTGAGCTGTGGTGTGGAGTTCAGCGCTGTCCTTAGCCCCATTTCACAGGTGAGCAAACTGAGGCCTCCAGGAAGTCCTGTGAGCATGGTTTAGCAGTGGTGTGTCAGAGGGAGGGACTATTTACTAGGTCCTAAGCGTTAGCTGTGCATTGGTTTACTTAACCCTCAACAACACTATGAGGTAGGTCCTGTTTATACTGGTCTTTTTAAGGAGGAAACAAAAAGACTCAGAGTTAGGGAAGGAGGTCCTTTAATCAACGAATGGCACAGGGGAGATTTGAAGTGAGGTTTAGTGCAGAAATAGTGGGCCAGGGCTAGGCCCGGAAGGGCACAACAGCTATTAAGAGAAGGAGTCCCCCAGGGGGAGGGAGTTGGGAAGTCCCTCCCTAGTGCACCCCATCTTCGATTCTGACACAGGCACTTCTGTGGCATCCTTCGTTCCCTACCTGCTGGCTCAGGCCTCAGCAGGCAGGCACTCAGGTGCCCCTGGGCAGGCCTCTGAGACGTGCATTCACTTTGCAACATGAGCTTATGTGCACCTTCTCCTAGTGTCGCCTGAGGCTACTGCATTAGTTACTCCCTCCCCATTCCCGTCCGCAGTGAAGTTCCTTCCCTGGCAAGGTCCAAGTCCCAGGCATCTGCACAAGCCTCCTGAATGCCATGTCCAAGCACGGAAGGGTTGTATCACCAGCCCAAGATCACACAGCAGACCAGGAGACATGGTCCAGCTTTTGGGCCTTGGGCCCCTCTTCCCAATCCAGCCTCCTGGCTGTCACAAGAGCCTGTGCCATGCTTCAGTGTAACACATGGAGAGGAGGCTGAGACCCCCAGGGCCTAGCAAAGCCAAGGGCAAGGTCCACTCTGGTGCTCATGAAAGCTGGAACTGAGGTCACTGGTTCCAGGATTTCTGCTGCTCTTTGGGTCCTCCAGCCACCTCGGTCAGTCGCAGGCACCAGTCATAGAATGACATGGGGGTCCTCAGGTGCTTCGAAGGCCATGCCTGCCCCTCATTTCTGCCTGTACTCCAGAGTGTCCTCTGCCGAAGTCGCCACAAGTGCCGAGCTGACACCTTGATGGCCCTAGGGCCCCTGGAACAACTGTGGGGAGAGAAAAGTGGGGCAGGCGGTCATGGCTGCCAGGGGTCCCACCCCACTGTGCAGATACAGGAACGGAGGCCCGAGGGGCAGTGCTGGAGCCAGGGAGGGGTGGCTGTACCAGAAGCAGCAGAATGAACCAGGGCGGCACCCAGAGGCTGGGGTTCGGCCACTGGCTGACTGCAAAAACCTGGGCCACTCTGGGCCCATTTCCTCACCTGTGAAATAAGAAAAGTAACAAGGGGCTGGCTTTGAGAATCAGAACTCAAGTGAGATTTTGACTTAAGCAAGCACGTTGCTACGTGCCCTCAGGCCTTAGATGGGGGGCATCACACACACCGTTTCCCTGGCTTCTACAGCCATTTTGCAAATAAGAAAATAGAGCAGTGGAGAGGTGACTCCACTTGCCAGGCCACATAGGAAGTAAATGACAGAGTCAAGATGCAGCCCACATGGACCAACAAGAGAGCTGAAGCCAGGCACAAGGAGAGATGACAATGGAGCTCAGAGGTCCCTGTCCCCTCCCCTGCCAGGTGAACAGAGGTGGGTAGAGGCAACCCACCCCCTTGGGAAAACCATCCATCCCTTCTGGATCGTCTGTCACTTACTCTTTGCTCTCAGCACAGTCCAGTGGAGGGGCCAGCTTGAAGCAGGTGGTGCCCAGCAGGTCCAAAAGCACGTTGGCACCTGTGGGTGGGCTGTGGTGCCTCAGGAATCGTGCTAGTCTGAGGGCAGAGGCAGGCTTATGCTGGGGCAAGGCCCTGCCAGCCAGGGCTCCTTCCCAGTGCCTGGCAGCAGGCATCCCACCCCCAAGGGTCCAAGCAGGCCTCACCGGTGCGTGCAGCTGCAGAGGAAGAGGGGCTCTGGAGCGCCATTGAGCAGCTGGAACTTGGTCTCCTGGGGCCCAATTTGATATTCACACTGGTCCAGGTGGCGAAAGCCTTGGCAGGCCTGGCGGGTGCCTGGGGGTGGTGTGGTGGTGAGGGGAACCCAGTCCCCAGGGCAGCTCCACTGATACCCACTGCCACCCAGAAGAAACACCAGCACATGGACTCAGTCACACACGCACAGGCTCCTTCCATCTCATGCCTGGGTGCCCTCACAGTGCCACACATGCGGGACACACACAGCAGCGCTGCAGTGGTGGAGGTCCAGAAGAGGGCAGAGGGCGGTCAGAAAAGACTTCCTGGAGGCAGAGGCTGCTGAGCAGAGGCTGGGGGGAAAAAAGAGGAGGGGAGAGTGCCCCAAGCAGAAGGCACAGCACATACAAAGGCCCAGAGGTGGGAGAGAGCAAGCTGCTGTTGAGGAACCAAATGACAGGAAAGTTTACTTGTGGAAGTTTAGACAGAGGGGCATGGTCTGCAGAACCAGTGCCCGAAGGCCCCAGGGTGATGGGACATTGTCAGCTGACGTAAGAGGAGCCATGGTGGGGGCTCAGAGGGGAGGGACACTGTCAAGCCTGGAGCGTACGAAAATCCCTCTGCTGTGGCGTGGTTTGATGGGAGAAGCTGGGAGACCCCGGGAAGAGTTTGGAGCAGGAAAGGAAGTAGCATAGGGCCCCCACACATGCACAGAGGCAGGGACACCTCCTCATATCAGAAACCCCCAGGGTTAGGTTCTGAGCTCACCCTGAGGTTTTAGGACACCTTGTGGCCCCTGAAGGCCTGAATGGATGACATCCAGCCTAGTTGTGGGAGCCACATCAGGCATAGGGGAGGTCATGGTGGCCCGGAGGGCTGTGGCATTGTCTTTGCTGGGGTGCTGGGACCCTTCTTGCTGTGGTGGCCACTTCTGAGGGTGCTGCTTCTGTTGTGACTTGCTGGGAGCTGGACTCTGGGGGTTAGGAGTCAGAGGGATGGCTGGGGAGCTCCAGGAGGCATTGTAGGGGGTCTTGGGCTGGAGGCGGGCGAAGGGTATGGAGCCATACATTCTACACCTAGGAGGTGGCGATTGATGGCAATTGGTAACCCAGAATCCTCCCTTCAAAAAGCCTCCCAGGTTCAACTCCACGGAGACCAAGGCTCTGTCAGCACCCTCCCTCATCCCACTGGGTGGTATGGGGCACCCAGGGAGGGGCAACATCCTGGCCCTGCCCTGAGGAGAGGATGGAGAGGATGAGGCATCATTCCCTGGGGGACTGACATACAGCTTCCCCCACGGGAAAGGGCTCAAAGGGGGCAGCTACATACCCGCCCCACCAGTACCAGGCCACACAGGCCTCCTGCTCCTCCAGCACAAAGCAGGGGATCTCCAGCACATTGAAGAAAGCCACGCCCACGATATCCGAGATGGAATCCCGCTGCTTCTGCAGGCATTGCCGGAACCTGCCCCAGAGCCAGCACTCAGGTCCCTGGACCACAGAGAGCCACCTGGCTCCCCCTCAAGCCCACCTGCCCACTACCAGCCAGGTGGTTTGGGGTCCGAGACTTCCTTCTCCACTGAGGCCTCAGCTTTCCCACCTGCACAGTGGGTTCCAGCCTGTCAGATCCTTTAAGATTCACATGAACTCAAGTCTCCACACCCAGGAACTGCGTAACTCTGCCCCACCCTGTGCCCCTGCCCCTGCCAACCTGGCATCACAGTCACAGTGAGAGATGGTGTGGAATCGGTAGTTTCGGATGCCATAGTCGTACTGAAAAGGCGAGATGGTGTGTGGGCAGCGGTCGTGTTCCCGGCAGCAGAGATCAGGGCCCCGGAAGACCCCTGCAGGGAGCAGAGGGGGCACCAGCTCAGCAGGGCCCTGGGTACCACACCAGCTACGCCCATCTGACATCGGGGGCAGAGACCTGGTTCTCACTGGCCTCAGGCCACTCACCCGGCTTCTGTGGGACTCACAGTTTTGAAGCTGAAGGAGGGCACCCAGGCACAGCCTCTGCTGGGCAACTCAAAAGCAGGCCAGCCTACCCAGGAGCCCTTGCCCACGGAAAGATCTTCCCGGGAGGAGTCTGGAGGCAGGCCCAAGCTCACGCCCAGACACAACTATGAGGCCACGAATGTGTGTGGAATGGAATGACAAACAGGCAGGCGGAACCTTTCTTGCTGGCTTGCTGAAGCGTTGTCAGGGTGCCAACCTGCCCCGGCTCAGGTGCCAAGTCCTCCCCCAGCACCCCACACATACGCACAGACAGCTGTGCTGAGACTGCAAAAGCAGCCATTTGTTTTCACCGTCTGAGCAACAGCGCCTTTTACTGAAGCTTCCCCACGTGCCCAGCACGTCCCCACCCAAGCTCATGGCAGCCCTGCAGGAAAGGTGTCACTTTCAGTGTCCGGGAGAGGAAACTGAGGTTCAGAGAGCATGAATGTGCCAAACTGGTATTTGAACCCAGGACTTTGGGTCTCATCCTCCACTCCGCTGGGCACTCTGTGCTCCTAAAGCCTCCTCTGAGGAAATCGTTTTTTGGCTCAGCTGACTCCAGATCCACCCCAGCCTGCCCTGTCCCTCGGATGGTGACTACTGGGGACTCCCAGGCGTGAGCAGGACCTTCTCCATCTACGACCTCACTGAAGCATCCCACGATGAGGCTTGTGGCCACCCTCATTTTACAGGTAAGGACATTGAAGTTCACGGTGTTAAGCCACCCCCACCCCCACCCCCATCCCCCAAGGACACACAGCCTGGGAGAGTGGAGGCCAGGGTGAAAGGCTGAACTTCCCCCACCTCAGCCACCAAGCCCACACCCGCTCGGCTCACCCAGCTCCGTGGAGTTCCCGGCGGAGTCGCCGACCCCGCACCACAGCGTGCCGGGCATGGTCCAGCCTCTCTTCCCGCGCTGGCGCGCTACCCGCGACGTTCCGCTCTGCCCTGCTGCTCGCTTCGCCCTCGCTCCTGCTGCACTCCCCTCAGTCGGTCGGCAGGCCGCCCACCGACTCCGGAGGGTGGCCAGGGCTCTCTGCAGCTCAGGGCCAGGGGTGTGGATGAAGAAGCCCTGAGTGATCTCGCCGGCACAGAGGGCCCTGAAAGCTGCGGTGAGCTCTGGCTCGTCCTGCCGGCTACATGTCTGCGGCCTCCCGTGCCCATCCCAGTGGGCATGGAACAGGGCCAGTCCTTGGGCATCTGTGCCCAGGAAGCTTAGGGACCCCAAGGGGCTGCCAGGGGTGGGCCTGGCCAAGTGACAGGAGGTGTTGTACCAGTGGAGGGTGGAAGAGGCCCCCAGAACAGCCCTCAGGAAGCTCAGCACCCCCAGTAGCACTCCCAGAATCCCCATTCCACCCTGGCCCATCCCCGTCAGGCAAAGCCCCCGGGATGGGACGCCCATCCCTGACAGCCCATGAGGCAGCAGCTCAGAAGCTGGGTGGAAACAGTGCCCAGCAGACCCGATGCAGCAGGGCCAATGAGTGGTGTTTTGGGAGGAGTAGGAAGGAGGCTGGAGTGTGGGGTGATCACAAGCTTGTAACTGAATCCACCGGCTGGGCAGGACACTGATTGGCTGAGAGTGCACTTGCCGAGGCCCACGCCCCCACTCACCCTGCTTTTCTCATTCCCATCCTGTCACCTGCTGCCGGCCCGCCTGGGTGGGGACTATGGGAGCCAAACCCTTGGGCCTTGGGGACGGGGCTGGGGTGGGGGGAGGGAGGGTTAGGAGAGTTCTCTATCTCCCCAGGGAGGGAAGATGGCTCAGTGGCTCAGAGGAGGCTCCTAGAACGCATCCTCATCTCCCTTCTCCAGTAAGTGGCTGCCACACACCCCGCCTCCCTGAAGCTGGCAGGGCGCCATGGGTCTCGGCCACAATTGGGTGAAAGAGGTGAGGGCAGGACTGAGGCTCTGTGTCCACCCACCCCAAACTTCTGGGAAGGGGAGGCTCTGGGGAAAGGGGGCAGCTGTGCCCTGGCCACCTAATCCCTCCTGTCTCCTCCATCCCTCACTCTCCCCATCTTTCTCTCTCTGGCTCTAACTCTCCATCTTATTTTCTCTCTCCATTTCTTTCGTATCTTTCTCTCTCACTCTTCTTTCCCTGAACCTCCATTTCATTCTCTCCCTCTCCCTCCTTAGTTTTTCTCCACCCCCTCTCATCTTCTCCTCCTCTCTTCTCAGTTTTCCTCTTTCTGTTTCTTTGTGTCTTTAGATTCTCTCTCTCATTCATTTGGCTTATCTCTCAAATTTCTCTCTGTTCTTTCTGTGTGTGTATCTGCCTCTCCAAATTCTTCTCTCTCCCTTCTTTCTCGGTCTGCTCTCCCCCTCCACACCCTGACCCTGGCCCAGGATCTGGCGTACCCCACCCTTTCCTGTGCACATTTCCCCAGCAGTGACTTCATCTGGTGCTCACAACCCCTGCTCCTCCTGGGCAAACAGGCAGGGCAGGGCTTTTCATGCCACCGTTGAGATTGGATGGATGGGCCCTGGGAGAAGTGATTTGCCGCGAGTCACAGAGTGGATGGGAGGAAGCCAGGCCAGACTAGCCCTGGAGTGTGGGGAGGGCCTTCCCTGGTCCCAGAAGATTCTTGGCTCCCCCCCGCCCCCAGACTCCCTATAAAAGGGCCTTCCTTCCCACTGCCTGAAGCGTACCCTCCCTCTGCCCCTTGGTGCTGGCCCTCCCCGTGCCACCAGAAGGCTCTGCAGCTCTCTGTGCCAGGAGAATGGTGCGGGCAGTGCCCAGCTCCAGCACATTCTGTATTCATTCAAAAACAAACAGTTACTGAGTGCCAGGCACAGGACAAGACCCTGGCCAGAGAGAGAGAGGAAGGGAAGGGCAACAGAGCATGCTCAAGACTTGGATAAAGAGAAAACTCATCCCCTGGGTCTGGCAGCCCAGAGGAGCCAGGGCTGGGTGTCAGTTGGGTCCTCTAGGAAGCCACAACCAAGACTAAGTTAGGAGTGCAAGAGATTTACTGCGGGAAATGCCTGTGAAAGATAAAGAGGGAGAAAACAGGAGTGGGCCTGGAAAGCCTTCAAGCTGCTGCAGGTCTGATGTCTGTGAGGGCAGAGGAGAAGGGAAGGGGGCCTGCACAGGAAGAGCCTCACACCGCAGTGCTTCTCTGAGAAAATCTCAGCGCCAACAGGGAATTCTGGTGCAACGATTGCCCTTCCAAGAGCCGCTGTTAGGCAGAAATGGCCAGGCCCTAGTGCCTGGCTGAGCACAGTCACTGGTCGGGGGCTGCCCAGGAAGGCAGTGGTACCCGCTCCGGTGCTGCTGTGGATGCTGATGGCTGCCACATGTGGGAACTTACCCACCCACTGGTCTGAGGCAGCCTCTGCTGCAGACCAGGAGAGGAAACCCAATGGGGCAGGTGGAATCTGGCATCTGGGAAGGAGATGCCAGGGCTAAGGAGTAAGAATCTATGCGTACAGGATTTCCAGGGAGGAGTGCAGCCCCTAGCACACCTGGTGTAAACACAGCCCAGCCCCAGGCCTGAGACAATAAACACAGACCCAACTATGTCTAAAATGAGACATCTCGGTAGATAGGAAGAAACATATTAGATTCAACTTAACAGCTTATTAAACCAGGAATGGAAGTCCTGGTAGGTGTGGCTCAGTGGATTGAGTGCCAGCCTACAAACCAAAGGGTCGCAGGTTTGATTCCCAGACCAGGGCACATGCCTAGGGTGCAGGCCAGGTCCCCAGTAGGGGGCGAGTGAGAGGCAACCACATATTGATGTTTCTCTCCCTGTCTCTCTTCCTCCCTTCCCCTCTCTAAAAATAAATAAAATCTTTTTAAAAACTAAAGTAGGAATAGAAGAGAGAGAGAGAGATGGAAATCAGAGATTACAGGACTCACGCTCCATAACTGAGCAGCACCAGAAGCTGTGGTGGTTTAAAGGTGTGCACAGAGTCTCTGATACTTGTTCCCTTTAGTGGTGGACGTTGTCCCCTTTCCCCTTCAGTGTGACTCAGTGCCTTGCTTCTAACAAATAAAATGTGGCAGAAGTGAGGTAACCTCTGAGACTAAGCCATAAAAAGCACTGTGCCTTCCTGTTTGCTCTCTCTTGTTCCGGGGAAGCCAGCCAACACACACGAGGGTACTCGACAGCCCTGTGAAGAGGCCAAGGCGATGAGGAACTGAAGCCGTCTGCCAACGGCCAAGTGGGAGACACACACTTGGAAGCAGACCCTTCAGCCCAACCAAGCCTTCAAACGCGTGCAGTGCCATCTGACCACTTTTTTTAAAAAAAGCTTTATTGAGATATAATTCACATACTACACAATTCACCCCTTTAAAGTGTACAATTTATACAACTCTTTAACATGTCTGAGTGCTCAAAAATAAAGTGTACAATTTAGTGTTTCAGTGTGTTCATAGTTGTGCAACCACCACCACTACCTAATTCCAGGACATTTTCATCACTCGAAAAAGAAATCCTGTGACCGGTAACAGTCATTCCACCTTCGCCCCAACTCCTAGCCCCAGGTGCCCACTAATCCACTGCGTGTCTCCATAGCATTGCTTGTCCCAGACATTTCATATAAATGGAGCCACACAGTACATGATCCTTTGGTGCCCGGCTTCTTTCACTTAGCATCATGTTTTCAAGGTTCACCTGCGTTGTAGCAGGTGTCAGCACTGCATTCCATTTTATGACTAGATAATATTCCACCATATGGATAAACCACATTTATCCACTTGGGTTGTTTCTACTTTAGGGCTATAAACATTCACGTAAAAGCTTTTGTGTGAACATATGTCTTCATCTGTCCTCAGCACATACCTAGGGGTGGAACTGCGGGGGCACCTTTGTCTTTAACCATGTGAAGAGCTGCCCAACTGTTTCCACGGCGGCCGCACCATTTTACCGAGGATATGTTCATTGCTTTTAGGGAGAGAGGGAAACATCGATCAGTTGCCTCCTACTTGTGCCCCAATCAGGGATCGAACCTGTAACCTAGGTGTGTGCCCTGACCAGTAATAGAATCCTCAACCTTTTGGTGCAGAGGACAACATTCCAACCAACCGAGCCACTCAGCCAGGGGCCACTCTGGTTTTAATTTGCATTTCTCTGAGGATTAGTAACTCGGAGCATCTTTGCATACATCTCTTGGCCATCTGTATGAACTCTTTGGAGAAATGTCTGTTCAGGTGCCCAGAGCAGCCCCTTATGCCCAGACCAGGCAGATGAAAGCAGAAAGGCCCATGGGACAGCAGGGTGGGCCATGCTGGTGGCTCTCAGAATGTAGTCCAGCCTCTGCTGCCACCTAGTGGGCACCCAAAGCCAGCGCCTCCTAGAGAGACTCTTGAAAGAGGAAGGCTCTTTGCTCCTTTCCTGGTCCCTTCTTGCACCTGCCTGGTCTTTCTGGTCTGGGCTCTACCCTCTGACTCACTGTATGATACTGACAAGCCCTCTTCCTCTCTGGCTCTCAGTTTTCTGTCTTAGAATGAGGGTTCTCCAAATAGCAGCAGTCCTGATCTTTCCAAACAGCAAGTCCAGCCAGTCTGCCCATCCCTCCCCTGGCCATCAGGTTGAAGCCTGTCATGACTTGCAGGATCTGAGCCTGGCTGACCTCACCAGCTCCCCACTTCTCTGCTGCAGCCACACAGAGCTACTCACTTCCTCGATCACCAGGCCCTCTTAAGGCCTTTGTACACATTGCTTGCTTCACCTACAACTCTTCCCTCTCCTTCACCTGCTTTGTTCCTACTCATCCTTCAAGTGTCAGTTTAATCACCTCCTACAGGAAGCCCTCTTCCCTGACACCCCCAATCCAGGATGGCCAGGGATACTTTAGGTCCCCACTGAGGACTGATTGAAGTCTCAAAGGGGATGTGACCCTGGAAGAGGTCAAATAGCGTTCATTCAGGCAGGGGGCTGGTGTGGGGTGGACACTGTGGGGAGCCATGGACTCAGTTCAGACTGACCTAATTTCCCACCCAATTCTACCATAGCTGGGCAATGTAAACATCAGCCAATGACTCCACTTCTCTGAGTCCCTACTTTACGGGTGAATTAATCAGATTCTGTCTGCCCCAGTGCTAAACAAAAGAACTCTAATGTGAGCCACAGAGGTCATTCTAAATTTTCTAGTCACAGTTTAAAAAGTAAAAGAAACCACCCTGGCTGGTGTGGCTCAGTGGATTGAGCACCAGCCTGAAAACGGAAAGGTCACTGGTTTGATTCCCAGTCAGGGTACATGCCTGGGTTGTGGGGCAGGGTCCCAGTTGTGGGCATGCAAGAGGCAACCGATCAATGTTTCTCTCGCACATCAGTGTTTCTCTTCCTCTTTCTCCCCTCCTTCTCCTCCCTCTAAAAAATAAATTAAAAATCTTTAAAAAAAAGTACAAGAAACAGGTGAACCCTGGCTGGGTAGCTCAGTTAGTTACGAGTGTTGTCCCATACGCCAAGGTTGCATGTTCAGTCTGCAGTCAGGGCACATACAGGTAGCCACCGATGAATGCATAAATAACTGGAACAACAAAAAAATCGACGTTTTCTTTCTCTCTAAAAAAGAAACAGGTAAAATAAATTTTAATAAGCTATTATAAATAATCCATGTGTAAACTATTATTTCAACATGTAATGAATATTTTAAAATTATTAATGAGCTACTTTACATTTTCTTTTTATACCAAGTCTTTGAAATCTGAAGAGTATTTCATACTTACTGCTCATCTCAATTCAGATTCTACGTTCCCAGCACTCAGCATCCACCTGAGGCTAAAGTCCACTGTACTGGACAGTGCAGCTCTGTGTCTTTATCTGTGTGATGATTACATGGTGGGTATGTAAAAATTCATGGAGCCAAACAAGGAAGACTGACCTTTTTGTATGCAAATTACAAGTCTTGAGAAAAAGAATTCATTCCTGGTTTTCTGGCCTGAACATGGGTGGACAATAAGTGGGGGAATTTGCTGGTATGGAGGAGGCTGAATGTGAACAGATGAGGTGCAGAGTGAGGGAAGTCTGAGAGTCTGAGGATCTTTGTCCCTTAGGTCTTTGTTGTTCTGGGAAAGTTTCCAGTGGTCAGATCAGAAGCTGTGCGGACCTTGGCTGCCCCCTGGTGGCCAGGCGGCAGATGGCAGGCACCGGTTGCCTTTGGGACCTAGGCCGACCTTCTCCCCAAGACCTTAGAGGGCACTGCACTGTCATTGAAACTTCTTTTCTGGACCTCACAGTTCTAAATTCTGCCGGTCCTGGCTGTGGCAGCCATGGGCGTCCCCTCTGTCTAGATTAGCAAAAATAAGTCACTGAGTTATGTGTGGATTTCAGATAAACAACAAATACTTTTTTAGTATAAGAACGTCACATTTGTTGTGCCTGTGAAATTCGATTTCACCAGGCGTCCTGTATTTTATTTGGCCACCCAACTTCTAGCTCATCCTCCAGGACTCAGAGCACGAAATCCAGCTCTACCTCCTTGGTGTGTGGCACTGACCATGTTTCTTCACCTCTCTGAGCTTCACCTTCTTCCTCTGTAACTCGGCCAAAAATTCTTCCCTTAATGACCTATTAAAAGGACTCACTGAGAAAAACATAAGAAAAAGATCTCCCCATAATTCCTGGCACGTGGTAAGCCCTAAGCGAACATTCCTTCCCTCCTGGGCCCCACAGGTGCAGGGCAGAGACAGGCTGCTCGAGGGGTGCCCTGCCTCCTTCCCCACACTACCCTAGGGAGGGACCCATAAATGCTTAATGCCTTCCAGATTTTCCTCTCCTTCACCAGTTTTTCCCTTCCCTGGGTTTCTAGGTTTTTGTCCATGCCCCAGCTGTGTAGGGGATATCCTAGAATCCTCTGGGGGAAGACTAATTCCCCAGGAATGGGGTCCTCCTGACCCAGCTCTTAGAAAATTCCAGAATATGGCCCTCATGCCACCATGTCTCTAAACAAATAATCCTATCCAGACTCGAAGCTAGGAAGTCAGGCTGGTTCACTCTGCTCCTGACCCAAGCCAGACCCTGCCCTTGGCCAGCAGGGCCACCATACGGACAGTGCCCTGGGCTAGGCCCCAGTGGGAGGCAGGATTAACGGACCCTGAGCTGTCCTGGAGCAGGGAGCTTGGTGAAAGTGGGCTCAGCCTAACCCTGGGACCCACGCACAGAATGAAAGGAACCTGAGGCCCAGGGCTTAGGTAATGTACCTGAAGGCACACAGCAAGGATCTGCACATTTGCCCCAGGCTGGGGAACCAGTGAGGCCATGCTCCTAACTGGCTCCCCTCTTCCATGGAAAGGTTGGGGTTGAGAATTTGAGGGTGCTTCTTCTGACTTATTCTCCCCTCTGTCTGCATGCATGGTCTTCCTCTCTGAGTTTCCCATACCCAAAAGGGCAGACTAACCCCAATGGGGGGTGGGAACAGCCCAGATCAAGACCTTGCTTCCTTAACCCTCCCTCAAATCGCCTAACACAAGCCCAAATCCAAAATGTCTGTTCTAAGACTCTGTTACGGAGATACCCCATCACAGCCCCATGTCGGGTGAGGAGACTAGAGGAAAAGGTGATGCCACCTCCTCACCACCTGCCAGAGGTGGGCTGGTTCCTGGGATCTTCTCTCCCTGCATCGAACAGAGGAGAAAACTGGCCCAGGGAAGGGCAGGAACCTGTGGGTCTAACAGATCAAACAGGCCAGAAGGTCCTGCAGACTCCTTGTCTTTCCTCACTTGGCAGATAGACACCTGAGGCCTCAGGTCTTTAGTCACGCCCCTCCCACACAGTAACCTGCCCGTTCCCAGTATTCAACCTTCCCCTCCCCTAAACCCTTGACTCAGGTCCCTGTTCCCTCTGAATGAAGCTCTGCAACGGCCTTCCACTTCTCTTGTGCTTCTAATCTCCACCACTCTCCTCTGCACTCGGGCGAAGATCTGAACGCCTCTGCATGGACTCCCACACCCGACTGCCCCAGACGTTTCCTTCCTTTCCAGCTCCATGCCCGCCTCCATCCCCTCTCAGACCCCACTCTCTGGCCCAGGGTAGCGAGCAGCATTTCAACGGGAGCAGGTTTTGCAGGCAGATTCATCTCGAGACTGATTCTTACCAGCTGTGTGGCCTTGAGTATGTTGCTTTATTTCTCTGGGCCTCTTGTTCCTCATATACAATTATTTGCTTCACCATTTGGGGTGAGGGTTAATTTGCATAAAGCCCCGTGGCACATTAATAAACATTCAATAAATAGTAGCTGCCATTATTAGTATTAGCATTAGAGGAGTAAGTGGGGGTGGGGCAGGAGGAAGGTTAGGGCTATTTAAATGAGAACCCTTCAGATGCTCAGAGCAATCAGAGACAGTTATTTTATTCTTTCCCACTGGAATGTTTCCCCCCCCCCCAGCACAATTTGTTGCAGACATCAAATAATATGGAACCCATGCTGGGTTCTAGCAGGAGAAATGCAAACACCACAAATAGAGCTTCTGAGGTCTGTAAGTGCGTCAGTGTGCTAAGGCAGAGAAGGTATTACTTGATACATTTTTGAAGCTGACGTTCTTCAAGTTTGTTAGTTCCAATTCTGTTACTTCTTGATAACGTTTTTGGTAACAAGAACATGAAGAAATAAACAGTGCTGGTTTCCTAACATTAAGCCTTCAGGAACGTGATTATCTCTTTGCCAAAGAGACCATGAGAATGATTTCATTTCTGATGAAGGAAAAGTTGACCTCTCACTTTAGTCTGCCTTATAAACCCAACAAAAGGAGCAAAGGGGAATATAATCGGCAAGTTTGTCTTAACTGAAGCTTATGGCTTCAATGTCTTTTCATAGTGATGGTACTCTCTGACTTGTTTGAAGGAAGTAATAGCTCAAGCAGTAATTTTTGAAAGTATACTGAGAGCTCACTCAGTGCTAAGCCTGTTCTGTATCCTTACAATAAATCTTTTCTTTTTACCAGACAAGGAAACAGAGGCTTCTGTAAGTGAAACTGCTGTCTAAAGTCACATAGCTAGTGAGCATGGGCACTTTCAATGTCCTCCAATTAAAGACCTCCAGGAACACACCTGTGGTTGAACAAGTTGAGCAAGTTGGGTTTATTACTTCTTACAGTGGGGTGTGGGGAGGATGAGAACCATGAGAAATGAGGAAGCATTCTGGTAACAGAGTGTTAGAAAGAACATTATGATTTAATTTGGGGAAGAGTTAAGGAAGCAGGTTTTAAAAAATATATTTTATTTATTTATTTTTAGACAGAGGAGAAAGGAAGGAGAGAGAGGGAGAGAAACATCAACGTGTGGTTGCCTTTTGTGTGCCCTTACCGGGGACCTGGCCCGAAACCCAGGTATGTGCCCCAACTGGGGATCAAACCCTTTGTTCCAAAGGCCAGTGCTTAATCCACTGAGCCACACAAGCCAGAGCAGGAAGCAGGGCTTTGATCTGGATTGGATACTGTCTATGACTGGGCATCTTGATAAATCTTACCTAGAAGGAGGGAAGATTAGATGAGACAAAATCTGCATTGGTAAATAAGCAGCAACCTCCTTATAAGTCAGGATAGGTAACTGTTCCTTTTTGTGGTTTGGACAATGTTCACGTGTTGTCTGGTTCAAACATGAATATGGAAAGGTCCTGTTATTGTCTTGTTTCATCACAGTCACAGAGTTGCTTTGTCTGATGTTGATGTTCTGTGACATTTTTCAGGCTCAGCAGAACACCAAGTCCTACCTGCTAGTGCCAGACCAGCCCCTGGGTATCAGGAACAACTTTTCTTTTTATCGGAGCCTGGACTCTAATCAATGTTTGTGTAACTGGAAACAAATCTTGTGTTACTCTTTGTCCTCGGGAACCTGAGAGGAGAGCTGGCAGATGAGGAATTTCATCTATGAGTTTATTTCATCTAGTACTTTCAGAACCAATCCTTAACACAATCCCTGAAATTACCATAGGCACTTAATAAATGTATGTTGGATTAATGAAACAATGAAGATGGGCGTCAAGGGAACAACTTATTGGTGCTGATTGCAACTTCACCATCTGTCAATGTGTGATTGGAAAACTTAAGTGGTAAACTTATGTAAACTTCAAAGTTTTCCTTTACCCATTTGTAAAATGGAGATAATTGCCAAAACCATTCATAAGGCTGCTATAAGGATCAAATGAAGCATTGTGTGAAGTGTGCTCAGGTAAGCTCAGTAAATGTCAGCTATCATTATTTTCAAGATAAGTAGTCCACTAGTTTTGTGATTGTATGTTTAATATTTTTCCCTCTAGGCATGAAAGCAAAGATCTTGAATCATCTCTTGTTGCATCGCCACTGCCTAGCACATAAATGAATATAAATGAATTGGCTAGGACCCAGGCACTTCCCCTATTTGGGGAGTAAATTTTAATTTTTGTATCATTTCAAACACAAAGAAAAATTGCAAAAATTATGTAAGGAACTCCCATATACCCTTAACCTAGACTCACCACTTGTTTACATTTTGCCTTATTTGCTTAACCATTCACTCTGGAGCACTCTCTAGTTCTTTCTTTCTCTCTTCTCTCCCTCTATATATATATGTAATATATGCATCTTTTTGAGTTATTTGAAATTAAGTTGGAGACATTGTGCCCTTTTACCCCTAAATACTTCAGTGAATATTCTAAGAACAAGGACATTTTCGTAACATAGCCACAATACAATGATCAACTTTAGAAAATTTAACATTGATATAATATTCTAACCCACAATCCATATTCAAATTTCGTCACAAGTCCCAATATTGTCCATTACATCTGTTCTGTCTCCCCTCCCCCCTCCAGGGTCCAATTTGGAATCACATACCAGGACACTTCCTCAGTCTTTACACGTCTTTCATGATACTGACAGTTATTTTGTCGAGTGTCCCTCGATTCTAGTTTATTTCATGCTTCCTCATGAGATTTGGGTTATGCATTCTGGATATAAATATCACAGAGGAGATGGTGTATCCTTCTCAGTGCACCTTATCGGGAGGCACATGATCTCTACCTATAACTGGCGGTGTTAACTTTGATTACTTTGACTCATTTGTTCTGTGAAGTTATACCTCTGTAGAAATACTATTTTCCCTTTGTAATTATAAGTAATTCATGGGAGACAATTTTACTATGTAAAACATCGTGTTCATCTAGTTTTACCGCTTATTATTGAATTTCTAACTGCATCATGTTTGTTAGTTGTCAGTCTCTCCCATTTATTTATCCACTTCTTTATTTATATCAGGAAAGGCTTGTGGGTTATCATTTTGTCCAATTAGTCAAACTTTTGCTATCGTTACCTATTTTGATGCTCACATTGCCGTGATTTGGCCAGCGGGATCTCCTTGGAGCTAGTTCCTGTGTCCCCTGACATATTCCCATCATTCGGATTCCCATCCTTACATTCTGATGCAACAAGATGTTCCAAGCTTACCTGGTATTTTCCCTGCCCTGACCGAGGATCTTTGAAAAGCTGCTAGTTAGCCCCTATGTTTCTCCATTTCCTACACGCAGGCGGAACCTTAGAGCCTGGGACTGGGCACGGAGAACAGCGCAGCGGACCAACCTCTTCCGGTTGAGGTCGGAAGTATCTCAGAGAGGGGAGGTTTTACGTCAGGTGATCGGAGTCCGCGTAGGAGGGATCCGAGGTCCCGCCGAGGAGACTGACTGTGCCGACACACTGGCGGAGCAGTCGACGGACGGAGGGAGTACGTCGGCCTCGGCGGCGTTAGCTGAGCAGCGGCAGGTACGTGGGGGGCTGACTGGTGGGGATGGGGGCCCAGGTAGGGGCCATCGAGGTTTAGTGGCGGGGGACCGGATTCCTCTTTCACGGGGCCCACGGGCTGCGACACCTGAGTCCAGGGTCGCAGAAACAAAACGCCTCGTTCTGCCCCGAGCCCTTTGCTTCAGAAGAGAGTTCAGGCTGGCGTTGTGGTCCTCCGTCCCTTGTTTACAGTTTGGGTAAACTGAGGCCCGGGGACAGGAAAAGGCTCCCCACGGAGCTCTCCTTTTCAGGCAAGGACTCACTCTAACTTTTTCTGTCCCCTGCTCGAGGCCCCCTCTCCTGCGCTTTTAATGAGTTTACTCCGAGTGGAGAAGCCAAGGCCGGGAAGCTTTATGAACAGAGGTGGGCTTGGGATAAGGGACCCGGGTTCGAGACTTCGCCGCCAATTGTGCGTTCTGGGCCAAATCCCATCCCTGTGCTGGGCCTCAGTTTCCTCATTTGTAAAACAGGGCAGTGTTTCTCAAATTACCTTTCTCGCACCATCTGCTTTGAAATGCTCTGGAGATGCATGCTTTACCATGGGGACTCAAATAAGACTTCGTTTTTAGAACCAGGGTTGGAACCTGGGAAATCGGCGTTTTAAACATACGCCTCGGGGATCCTCTACATACTGACTGATGTTTGCAGCCAACTGATCTGAAGTGCTTTCCTGCTTTGAGCACTAGATTTGCTTTGAGGAAGCTGGAGCCTATTCAGGATCTTTGAAAGAATTCGAATGCTTATTCCAGAAAAAAGCAAATGAAGGGAACTGTCTTTAAAAACTGAAAAAGTTGTCATGGTGAAGAGGGCTTCCACTTCATCCTTGGATTTGAAAGCAGCAGAAGTAGGACTAATAGGTGGATTCTACAGGAAGACAAGATTTTGATATAATAAAAGAACTTAATGCCGGTCAGAGGTGACCAGCAATGGAATTGCCTCCAAAGGTAGCGAACTCACTGTTGAATGAGGAATACAGGTATTAGATGGCATCCTTTTTCAACTTGAAAGCGTCTGATTCTGAGTAGTTATTTTGAATCTTTGTGACGCTACCGACTTCTTTTTTGTGCCCTCTTCTTGATATTTCCAGCCTACATATTGTGGAAGTAAGGCGATTGGGTTTGAATGTGGTGTATCTTATGTAATCTCTTCCTGGTTGTCCTGGGAACTATTCTTTTCAAGGACTTTGGAATGGCCCATATGATAAGGGCTCTGTAAAATGTTTGTTGAATGAATAACCAAGCAGGATCCCCAGCCCATCAGTTTGTAGCTTCCTTTCATAGAACAAGTTCGAAATGCCTCTGAAGACTTTGTGTGTGATCAGAAGCCAGTGAATGCTTTGGGTCACAAAAGTGAGGAGTCTCAGGCAGGAGGGTTGTTCACACCTTGAGGGTGATCAGGCTAGCCTTTCCTCCTTAGACGTAAATCCCGCTTTAATCCTCTTTCCAGCACTGTGCTGTATAGATGGTATGTCTACCGAGAGAATTTTTGCGATCTGTCAGCTAACATTCCATCCAACGTTTAAAACCAGCCCTTGTATGAACTTGACTAGCCAGTTCGTGCTCACAGGTAATCTTCAGATAGTACTTCTAGCATACCTAGTTTTCTAGTCAAACATCAGAGCTCCTTATATTGTAATTTATAAAACCCCAAGCAGGCCGCCTTTCCAAAACCTGTTAGAATATTTGGGTTGTTCTATGGGGCAAAGATTCCATATTGTGACCCAGTTCTGCTGACATGCTTCCCAGCCCGCGCCCCCCCAAAGGGCTTCCTGTCTGTGTTTATCTTCCTGCCTCGAGTGTGTTTCCAGGATTAAAGAAAAAAATTTGTGAAATGCTTATTCAGATATTATCCAGGTGCTGGATAAAATAATTTTAAGGTGGTGTTGGTGGTGGTTTTAAAACTCCTTAATCTGAACATTTCTTTTTTTTAAAAGTACCAAATTGGCATTTACATTCTGCTTTTCAAGCCACTAGTCTGAACAGATGCCTCTGAAAAAAAGTGTTCTATGGTAATAATAAGTTTGGGGAAAGCTTCATATCATTATGCCTTTTTGGAGCTTCTCACATTAAAGGCACCGAGACATCCTGCAATAAAGAAATACTCCTAACCCAGTTTAATCTAGTGTTGCCAAACTTAATTGATGGGAAGCACTTTTAAAAAAACTGAAGCACACATGGGCAAATCCTGAGCAAGAGCAAGAGTCTGCAGTCTGTGGGCTGTGGTCCAATCAGGCCCCGCTGCCTGTTTTCTCATGGCTGTGGAGCTGGGACTGTTTTTTGCATTTTTAAATAATGGGAAATAAATCAAGAGAAGAAGAATATTTTGTAATATAGGAAAATTCACATTCCATTGTCCATAAGTAAGGTTTTTATTGGAACATAGCCATGCTCTTGAATTTACATACTGTCTTGGGCAGCAGAGTTGAATCATTGCCCCAAAGAGCACATAGTCCACCAAGTCTAAAGTTGTTATTAAACGGCGCTTTACAGAAAAACCTGCCAGCCCCTGACCTGCATCACGTGCACTTTTTGAAACTTCTTATTTTGAAATAATTTTAGACTTGCGAAAAGAAAACACAGCTTTCCTGTATATGCTTCACCCAGTTTTTTCCTAATGTTAACATTTTACATAATCATATTAAAGTTAAACAAGAAAATTAACATTAATATAGTAATAGTAGCTAATCTATAGACTTTATTCATATTTTATCACTTGTCCCACTAATGTCCTTTTTCTGTTCCAAGATCTAATCCCATTTCCCACATCACACTTAGTTGTCAGGTCTCTTTAGTTTCTTTTAATCTGAGACTGTTCCTCAGTCTTTTTTGTCTTTCACCACTGTAAATTTTTGAAGAGGACTGGCTAATTATTTTGTAGAATGTCCTTCAACTTTTTTAGGTAGAACTTACATATTGTAAAATTCACCATTTAAAAATGTACATTTCAGTATTTTTTTACTATGTTCACAAAGTTGTGCAACCGTCATCACTATCTTCTTTTTTCTTTCTTTTTAAAAAGATTTTATTTGTTTTTAGAGGGAGAGGAAGGGAGGGAGAGACACATCAATGTGTGGTTGCCTCTCACACGCTCCCCACGAGGGACCTGGCTGGCAACCCAGACATGTGCCCTGACTGGGAATTGGACTGGCGACCCTTTGGTTCTCAGGCCCACGCTCAATCCACTGAGCTGCACCAGCCAGGGCCATCACCACTATGTTAATTCCAAAACATTTTCATCACCCCTAGAAGAAACCTTGTACACATTAGCAATCATTTCCTGTCCTCCCCTCTTCCCATTCCCTAGCAACCTACATGTTGTACATGTATCAGTACTTCATTCCATTTTAGTGCTAAGTAACATGCCATTGTATGGATGTACCACGTTTCGTTTATCCATTCATCACTTGATGGACATTTGGGTTATGTACGTCTTTTGGTGTTTGTGAACAGTGCTGCTGTGATAATTCATGTACAAGTTTTTGGACATATTTTCAGTTCTCTTGATATGTATCCCCAGGAGTGGAATTGCTGGGTCATACGGCAATTCCATGTGTAACTTTTTGAGGGATCACTGAACTTTTTTCCACAGTAGCTGCACCCATTTACATCTCCATTAGCGGTATATGTTAGAGCTTCTTTCATTTTCTCTACATCCTCTTCAACACTTGTTATAGTCCTTCTTAAAAATTATTTTTATATCCACTTTAGTGCATGTGAAGCAGCATCTCATTATAGTTTTTATTTGCATTTTCCTAATGACTGGTGATATTGAACATCCTTTCATGCTCATATTGGCCATCTATATATCTTCCTTGGAGATATGTCTGTTCACTCCCTTTGCCCATTTTGTAATGGAATTATTTGTCATCATGTACAGCCTTGCATGTAAATATTCAAAGAGTTGCAGATCCCCTGATCTGAATGGAGTTGGATTTAGACATGCTGAAGCACAGAATAAGGTGTTTATCTAAAAATGCTGACCATACAGAGCTTGGCTCAACCCCAGTACGTGCTGACTATGCAGTGCTTGGGTGGCCATGGTCAAGTGTAAAAGGTACCATAGCATCATTGATGTGATAAGACCAGTATGGGATCCTGCTGTTGGGGAGCTACTCTCGTGTTTGGTCAGAGCAGGGAGCAGAGGGGTCTGGTGGTTTGGAACATTTGGGACGGTGGTAGCCTTGGGCAGAGCCTGTGGTGTCAGAACTGCCAGCATCCATGTGTCTCTTGACCTCAGCATTTAACTGTAGCCGGACCATCTTGAACATACACTTTAAAAAAGTAAAGAACAGTAATTTTAACTGTGAAAGCAACAGATGCTCATTTTAGACAATACAGAATAGCTCCCTTCTTCACACACCCCAGTCATCTCTAGCGCCGGTATCTACAGACAGAGAGCCTTTATTAACAGTCGCTTTATCTCCTTATTTCTCCCCCACTGGGTACATGTTGAGTGGTTGGAATCATTCACTTTACAGTTTCGTAACTTGCTTTTTTCTGTTAACATCTTAATGTTAATGTCTCCATATTTTTGCCAGCCTCTTCTGTGACCTTTTGTGGAAATGTTGGTATTTTCTACCACTTTTTCTCATTGTGGTAAAACACATATAACAATAAAATGTACCATCTTAACCATTTCTAAGTGTACAGTTCAGTGATATTTAGTATATTACCACCATCTAGCTCCAGAAATATTCATATTTTGCAAAGCTGAAACTATATACTCATTAAGTTGTAACTCCCCATTCCCTCCTCCCCCCACAATTCTACTTTCTGTCTCTATAATTTTGACTACTCTAAGTACCTTACATACATGGAGTCCTACAGTATTTGCCTTTTTGTGAGTGGTTTATTTCACTTAGCGTAATGGTCTCAAGGTTTATTCATACTATGGCATACGTCACAATTTTCGTTTTTTTTAAGGCTGAATTATACTCTGTTGAATGCGTATACCACATTTTGCTTATCCATTCATTTGTTGAT